AGCACTTTTGTCCCCAGTGGTAATCCGCTCGCTTCCAATGCCCCAAACCCTGGTATACGGTTTCAAAACAAGGCTGGATTATCATCACTTTTGCGAGTGAAAAATGTTTGTAATGCCCAGCAGCCTGGTCTTTTGTTTGGAGTAAGGTCTTTTGTTACAAGGCCCTGTTTCCTTTGTCCGAGTTCGGAGACCCCGGCCACACATATAAAGCATACGTGTCTGGATCCGGAGTCCCCAGCAGGAAGTGGTTAAATACGCTTGCCTTTTGTCTACAAAAAAAAGTGTTACAAAATTTATCTTTCATTAAAAATCCTTGTTTACTATGTCACAATAATGCTGTAAACTTCTGTTTGCAAATCATTGAGTTTTAAGCACCCAGTTCGTTCTGGCTAAGTTTACGAGGGAAGTCCGTCCAAACACCATGGTAGACAGGGACAGCTTCACCCAGCTTGACTCGATATTCTTATGCCTGAATGGATGAAAAAAATGGCATCAGTCTCTTAAGGGCATTATATTGTAATATTAAGTTATTAAGAAGAAATAGCTTTATTTTAAAAAGTTCATTTCGTATGGCAACTTCAATTTTGTACATTTTGAATGATCTTCAGCAATTGAAAGCAATCTTGTTTACAATGTTTGCAAACGACTTTAGACAAACAAGAAATGTTGAAACTGTAACTCATACTTTCTTTTTCAAGTCAAACTTTGCAAGATTAACTCCATGCTATGTAGGACTACTTTGCATGAAATTTCTTAGAGCTAGAATTGATCTCTCAAGCCTGGATAATAAGAAGGTCAATTCTACCAACTGGATCATGTCATGTCCATGACAAGATATTTTACCCCTACTTGTTTCAATCCAGGGAAGAATGGGAATATGTTTGTAATAAAAACATAATGGGGGGTATTCAGCCCACTGTAGAATTTGAGAACATCTGGCTTGTCATTCTTTTCATAGTTGGCCATGATGGATCTAAAAGAATCTAGAAGAAAACTAGAAGAAGACTCTCAGCCACCTTGCACTGGCAGAGGTTAATCTCAGCCAGGGGTCACCTAAAGCCATCATGCACTAGTAAGAGTCACCCTTAGCCACATTGCACTGGTAGGGTCACCATCAGTCACAATGCACCGGTAAGGGTCTCTCTCAGCCACCATGCACTGGTAGGGGTCACCCTCAGCCACCATGCACTGGTAGGGGTCTCCCTCAGCCACCATGCACTGGTAGGGGTCTCCCTCAGCCATCATGCCCTGGCAGGGGTCACCATCAGCCACCATGCCCTGG